ATAACATATAGCATTAAATAATTCATATTCAGTAAATTAAAAATATATAAATTAAAAAAAAATATAATAAAAATTACAAATAAATACGAGAATCATTTATGAAGATCTTATATAAATATAAATTAATAATAAAATTCAAAAATATCAATAACACAATAAAAATAAAAGATAGTTTATAAGAATAAAAAGTATATTATAAAAATATTGAAAAACCTAATTTTTAATTTAATTTATTTTAATATAATAATAAAATAATATATTAAAAATATTATAAGTAATAAAAATACATTAGTAATAGATTTATATACATATGTGCTCATACATTATCCGTGCATTGACGGATCAGAGTGACGACACATTGTGCCTGTTGAACGAGGTTCACTCGAGGTCATATTTTAAATTTTCCTCGATTTCTTAAACTTTAACTTATTGCTATGAAAGAATTGTATTAGCACATGCATAAATCCAAAGGATTCTGACTACTTCAAAGTAATCAAATGAAAACAAAAGATCAGATTTAGTCAAGCATTGAAATTCTGTTCTTGCTTAGAAATACATAAAAGCCTATTTTGAAATATTTTAAAATGTTATAAAAAAAAAATAATCGTAGCAAGATACTCACGCTGCCCTACAGGATACATTTTTGCAGCTGACGGTGAAAAAGACCAGATAACCACTAATAAATAAGTAAAAAATTTAACACAAAACCCACTGACCACACAACACACTTCTCCACAATACACACTGCGAACGAGACTGCCTCCTGCAATGGCTGCCACCAACTTGATTTCGATTGATCTTATCTTGACCAATCAGAGTATAAATAATAAAACAATAATTAATAATTCTTAGCATCATTATTATTTTTTAAATTATTTTAATTTTCAATTTTTGAATAATAACACATTAGTAAATATTATATTATATATATAATATACGACAAATTTATAAAACATCAATAATATAATGCATGTTAGTAACATTTTCAATTATTACAATATTTCAAAATTATTAAAAAATTAAATGTTTCAAATGTAATAAAGTAGTAAAATTTGTTATATTTTATTTTATGTTAATATATCGTATTTTTAATAAATTTTATAGTTTAATAATAAATAATTTTCGGTTATATTGGTTACACTGCATCAAACTATATCCCCTAGATTGCTACTGTTGGTGATATGCACTGCATGCGATTGCGTGCTCGATTTCCGAAATGTCGATCCCTTTCAATGGAACTCGTACACGTTCAAAAGGAATAATAAGTGCAATAGCAAAGCATTTGAGAACTTTATCTTTAAAACCAGTTAAATCAATTGATATAAAATTCGATCCTTTTCATGATAAAGCCTTGGAAGCAAGGTTAGTACAATAAAATTTTGTTTGCTATTTATATATATTTTATTAAAAATTAATCATAGTATATAATATTTCTTATTTTAATTTTATATTAAAAATATTACATTATAATTTTTTATATATATAAATTAACAATTACTTTAATCGATATATTTTAAATTATTTTCGTAATATAAAACTTGCATTATTTTTTTATCTTTTATTTTTAAATGTTTCATTTTGAAAATATTATAATAATTTTTTTTATAATTATAAATTTTATTTCAATAAGTAACGATTATTTTACGCTTATTGTAAAAAGTTGGTTAGTTTAATGACGTCAATATTGTACGCATGTGCAATATGAAATTTCTAGTAACTAGCAGACGATATCAGTATTTTTAGAAAATTTCAGTGATTAGTTTTATTATAATAAAAGTTATGATATGAAAATTAAATAAGCTTTATATTATAATATTTATATTGAAAATTGGCATAAACGTAAAATATAATTTCTTATTTTTTATACAATTCAAACAGATATAATTGAGTTTTAAATGCGATTACACAAAGTATTATATACGATTATACTCTATATTATAAAACTATTAAAAATAACGATTTATTTGATTTGTTATAATAATATTATCATAGTTATATCATTAATAATATATTGAATTAAAAGATTTTTTTTAATTTTTTTAACGGAACGATATCTAAATATTTGTATTTTATATTTATATAGAAAGTAAATTTTTATTTATAATTTTAATTTATAATTTTATTTATAATTTTAATTTTTATTTAAAACATTTTTATGACTTTACATAAAAAATTTTTTTCTCTAAAATTCTTTTACATAGTTACAATTTGACAATTTACTACTTCAATTCATTTGAAATTATAAGTAATGTTAAATAATTATTGACATGATGATTCTGAATTAATTAATATAATTTTAAATTTAATCATGAATTTAAAATTTCTAATATTTATAATTACATAAAATATTTACATAATTATTTATATTATTTTGCTTGTATTTCACTAATTTTTTTATTAATTATTTTTAAATATTGATTGATATTAATTTTGTTGCAAAATGCACTTTTATATTGAATTATATGAATACAATATGAATTATATAAATAATATGAATACAAAATACTAATATAAGTTATTTATATTTTGTTATTTTTCTTCTAAATTTATTTTAATTAATAATCTTATCTTATCTTATAAAGTGAACCTAAATTTCATTAATAAATATAATTTATTTTTATTTTAAATAAATATATAATTTAAAAAAAAGTTTTAAATGAATATATTTATTTAAAAGTATGAATATAAATATTCATATTATTTTATTTAAA